TTGTTATTGTTCCAGAACCATTTATATATGTGTCTTAACTCCACAGAGTAATTATATACTACACAGATTGGTTTGGCCCAAATGAAAATTCTCAAACTCAAAAGAACTTACTACTTCTAACAAAATAAGCCCCAGAAAGTAATAATTCTCAAAAAATTGTACACGACTTTCCACAGTCATCTGAGTGTCAGTACACACAGAGCACAAGCGCCCTTCCTGCACACTTTACTCTGATAGGATGTTAGGTTTGATCACTGACAAAAGATGGTAAATGAGGGACCCTCAAAAGAGACAGTGGGGCGTATCAGCAATAGTTTTCCATTTCGATATGCTGTTTCATTTTTTTTTTCAATATTGTACTGAAATCGCTACATCATTACATTCCTCCCCCTTATACTGATGAGGGTTATTTCTCATAAACCAGGCAAATGAAGCTTAAAATCATCCCACATGAGGATTTTTAGGTCATGAGAACAGTCTACTTTTTGCCACCACAAGGGGGTGCTACATTTCTGCAGAACAGTGGTGTCTTAGCAAAAGAGGGGTAATTGATGTGCATTTTTGTTCCTATTGAAATAAGGAGAGGGCACAAGGCATTTGGGGCATCCAACAGAGAGTAGTTACACTCCTGCTTTATGAGCCACTTACTGCACCAGCAGAGCCACTTCTCATTCCCCTGCTGTGCGTGGCGAGGCTGCTCGGCCACTGGCCCTCGGAGAGGGGTATGAGGAGTGGGAGGTAGCTGAGGTTAAGGGGGGGGGTATGAAGATGATGATGAAAGCCATCAAACTGCTCCTTTGTGCAAGCCGAGTCCCTCCTACCCTCTGAAAGAGCGCATTGGCAATCCCATCACGCTCTTGATGGCGCCTCTAACAGCCCCGTTCTTTCCCCAGTGTCTCAGCCTTCCCGCATCCCTCCATCCTGCTCTGCTTCAGATCGCTCCACACCACTCAGAGCCACAGGTACTAGGACCAGGCTTTTGTTCTAAACCAAAATAGACGCAGGGGGCTGCAAAATAGCCCTTTGAAGTCAAAAGTATCATCAGAGAAAAGAAAAAATGAACGTTGCAATTTTGCATAAATAATTTCTCGCTTCATTTAAAGTCAAACTGAAAGTAAAATTGACCTTTTTTGACATTGTTGATTCATGTCACTGGTCATAATAAGCACTATTCATTACACTATATGGTTTAAAAGACTTCTTGTTTTCCAGTAATCTATGATTAAATGGTGGTGACTTTTGCCTGCCTCAAAAACGGCTTGTCAGGTTTGATTACGTCACTGTGAACCGGCAGGCAGGGGAAAATACTATAAATACTACTGCGTTAGGTTTTGTTTGCAGAAAGAAAAAATAATTCTTTACATTTTTGCAGCTTTTTTCTATTTTTTTTATTTGTAGCAGAGAAAGGCATAAAAGGAACCTCAAAGATGTACAGAGTGTAAATCAAAAGTAGGCTATGTGTAACTCATTACAAAACTACCTATGTAATTACATTTAAATAATTATGTAATGAAAAATGAATGTAGCCTATAGCAAAATGACAAACCTTAGACTTCCAAGGGTTAAACCAGCTAAGTCATTTTCACACCTAGACTCTTGCTCCACAGGACTTTCTTCCCTGTGGGTCGTTCATGAGTCAGAGGGAGCTGATTCACACTGCTCATCAAAAGTTTGGAGACATCTTGCTCTCTTATGAAATGCTCAGAGTACTGCTTGATTTTCACCATTACTTTATAGCTAAATAATAAAAAAAGAGGTTTATTACCATGAAACAGCCATTTACTTATTTATATATTTTGGAGCACTCTATGTTCATCAAAGTGTCTTCATTGGTATTCATTGGAAGAGCAGGTTTTGATTCAATAATGTTTTGAGCTATCTTTTCTAAGCTATTGTTAAAAACACATATTAAAACTGTTTTTGGTCAAAGGTAATTTAAACAGTGCTGAGATCAAACCAAGGTGAATAAACGCTTTTTTATGCCATTATTTGGAAAGTGTGCTGTCACAAATATTTACAGTACTGTTTAAAAGTCAGAGACCACCCCTCATTTATTTCACTTCCCAGTAAATTTTCAGGAGATATGTCAGAAATTAGATATAAGACAATCCTCTTGTATAGGGGAAGCGAAAGTCCAAGGAAATTAAGCAAAAAACAAACAACAAAATAAACAGGAGATTCTAAAACTGGAGATCAAAATACTCTTAAGCTATAGAGAAAATGCTTCTCCTAACAACTGCGCAAGATCTGGTAGATCACTAACACTGTTACCATCAGATTAACAGTACATAAAGCTTTCATCTTTGAGAGAGAGGAGAAAATCAAGCTCCACTTTTATTTTAGATCTGAAAAAATCCACATAGTTTCTGTCCATCCTTCCACTGTTAGAAGACAACTCAATGCTATGGAAATTATATAGACAAAAAAATAAAATCTATAAATCAAATCCAGAAGAAGCTGGTGTTGTCAACAATAGAACAGTACACTGGCCACCCCAGAGTCCAGACCTCAATCAACTTTCAGGAATGAATTTTGGAGGTGTGTAAAAATATTTCTGCGGATTTCTTTGAAAAACTGAAAGTGAGTCTCCTGAAATGAATGATGAGGTAATACAAATGGTGCAAAGGGTGGACCCACTAAATACTGAAAAAATATATTGGGCTGTTGAGGCTTCTGTGTAATCATCTGTTAAATATATGTTTTCAAAATGAAGGGTGGTCTCTGACAGTACTGTGCATGTGTGATACTATTTTCCTTAAAATACAAGGGGGTACTTCACAAAGATTTCTAGAATAAAACCAAGATATACTAAGGCCCGGTCCCATTCCTCGCCCCTACCACTTAGCCCTTACTCCTCTGTTTTGATCACGCCTAGAGGTAGGGTGTCCCAATTTTTTGTTGAGATAGAGGGGTAGGGCGAAGTGTTAGGGCTACAAGGCCCTCTCCAAGCAGTGTTACAAGAAAAAAGAAGCGGCAAGATGGCTGTGCAAGCGACCGAAGAAATCCACATATGTATGTTCTCTGTTAAAAACTACGATAACCATTGTATTGTCTTAGTTTACTATATTTTTAAGGTATCACGGTCCTTTTCGCTAGTAGTGTGCTGATGTCTTGGTAGCTAGCTAGCTAAATTTCCCCTTCCACCTTAAAGCAGTTACATTCTGGCAGGGTTGCCTACAGAGCACCGCTATGCTCTTTTTTGTTTGAGGCTTGTCTCATTTCGTAGGGGAACATTTCAACCACTACCCCTTGTAACTTAGCTCCAAGGGGTAAGGTGACACTCCAAAACAAGGGGTAAAATTTGAAATTGGGCCTAAGTCAAAACTGGACAAGTGTCATGTTGGTCTTAAAATACTGAGTTTCCTAAGAACTTGCTTTGTGAAATAGTTGTGCACAATTATCACAAAGAAAACATGCTCCTTTGTCTTGCAAACATTTTGAAAAGCTTGTTGTCCTCAAATTTTTTGACAAGCAGTGTAAAAGCTGAACAGTGCTATTCCTTCAGTGGCCCTTTGGGGGGGGTACTGGGCTGGTGGGAAAAAAAATCAGCGCCACAGCCTGAGATAGGTATTCTCTCACACAAGTCCCACATGAACAGGGAGACTGAAAGCATTCCGAATGAATCGCAGGGGAAAATGAAGTGGCTGGATGTGAGCGGCACCATCAGTAACACGTCTCAGAGCCAACTTCCCAGCTCCATCAGAGGTTACAGGTTATCAGAAGCTGTCAGAAAGACTGTGAGCGGTGTCGGTTGCCAGCTAAAGACTGCCCATCAGCCGCCTGCCACCAGTATCAGTACCAGCGCAGCTTCGGCGCTCTGTGAGCATTTGGCACAGCCTGCAGGAGCAGAAGAGAATGCCGATGGCCTGGAGGGGACGGATTGGTTCTGGTCGAACCATCTGGAGGATCCCCTGCTGATGCCTCCACGCTTTGCAGCACCAGCGCTCAGAGCATGAGCAAAACTCCAGCCCCCGCTGGTTAGATCAGAAAAAGCAAGGACCCGCAGTCACATACACGGCCAACAGGCCCGAGCACCCACTGGGAACCAAGTACAACACAGCTTTGAAGAAACCTCGCTGACTGGATTAGCTGTAGAGCCCAGCAGGTCCTTAAATATTCGATTGCCATTCAGAGCCAGGTTGATGGACTTAGGCTAATTCTGCTGTTGGCACACTTGATTCACTTGTTTTTGCTTAAGCTAGGAGTCAGAGTCTTTGACGGTCTTTTACAGCTAATCCTGCCAAGGAAGAGCAAAAGCCTGGACCAGGCCGTTTCTGTTGCGCCTTCGCTTCATGGAAGCTACAGGAACGTGATCAGCCTTCATACCAACAGACGCTGCTACTTTCTGGGTAGCCTCACCTCTTTGTCATGCAAGTTAATTAGGAGCGCTGGAGTATATCATGGATAATATTGCTGCTCTAAGCAGAAGATGCTAGAGCCATTTCCACAAAATCAAATGAACCCTGTTCAGACCCACTGGATCTGATTCTGCAGGCAGTGTGCATAATAGCAAGGCAAAAAGCACACACACTCTCGCGCACATACACCGCCTACGGCTTGCTTTCGTCCACGTCTCTCGTATGAGGCAAAAGAGGAGGCCCGTTACCAAGGCGACAGATAGTTTCCATACCTATTGTCAGATATGTATTCTGTGTGTGCCGCCACCATGCCAGCGTAACGTTTCATCACCGACTGCCCTTGAAAGTGGCATGCAAACAAGGTGTCCGGCTTTCAAAAAATGCAGGACTTCCAGCCTAATGCTTGGCGTACAATACCACAAAAAGCACCAAGCCAAAACTAACAGTTCGGAGCAGGTAGACAACTTTGATTGCTGCTGTTTTCAGTTTTTGGTGGGAGAAACGCTCAGCAGCTGCCAGTCGCTGAAAGCATCTGTCATAATGGTGGAGAAAATAACTTCTTAGTCCTCTCACTTTTCATTCCACCCCCCCTCCAAAAAAAAACAAAACAAAACAAAAAAAACTGCACACAGTCAATCAATATCACCACTCACTCTTCTTTTCCTCTTTATTTTTCTACAAAAATATTTGCCCCATAAAAAAAGACAGTTTGGGATTTACATTGCTTTTTTTGCAACTGCCACGGAACCTTTCACCTTAAATATATCTGTATATTTATATATATATACTGTATATAAGTAAATATTTTTAGCAATCATAACAAGTCCAAGTGTGAGGTGAGTGCACTCTCAGCAGGCCCATGGTGCCTGAATCAAACATCCTCCTAGTCGCTCCAGGATACAGAACTGTTTTACTAAAAAATGTCTTCTTGCCTGAATACAAGTTAGAAAGACTGGAACCAGAAAAAAAAAAATCTCGATTCCCTTCATAAACAAAGCTGGAAAACATTTATAGCTGTGGTAACCAAGGCATTGTGAATCCAAGATCATGCATGCCTGCAATGACTCAGCTCCAAAATACTGCTTCTTACAAAAATACACAATTCATAAATGAATATTTATCAGTAACTAAACTGTAAACATTGAAAAGTCAGCTGAACTTTACATTACAAGGTTAATAATTACACAGCTGTTCTTGAGTTAACTCAACCTGAGTTCACCCAACTCATAGTCTTGTCAAAAGTTTTCTCAGGCAGGTAAACAAAACAGAATATGTTCTCCACTTGGTTTCCATCCCACAGTTCCTCCAGGCAGTTCCTCTGCCTGAGCTGCCAGTTATAGAGGCTGTGGCATCTATAAATCTTAAATTTACTCTTCAATTATTTATGGCTGATCTGAAATTTGAATTGAACATCATACAGTAAGTTAACAGAACAGTAATATGTGTCTTGCATTATTATGTAAACCTATTATCTCATGTTGAATAATGAATAAATGAATGAAATTAGATCAGCTATGTTACTTTTTTAAATGTGTACTTCAGAGGCTCCTTTGTGGTGCAAACCACAAACAGCAAGAGATCACATGCTTTAACCCCAGCGATGCCACAGCCACCCGTAACTGTGAGTCCAATACAAGAAACTGCCTGGTGGGATTGTGTCCCAGCTAGCTAGAAACTGAGCAAAAAACAAATTCTATACTGTTCACCTTTAAGTGAGATGCAGAACTAAAAAATGGGAGAATTATTTATGACTAAACAAGAAATTTTGGCCTTTCCTCGCCAAGCTTTGGGGTATGGTACAATTATAAATCTGTGATCATGTATTTTCCATTTCCATTACATTACTCATTTACAAATTAACCATATGGCCCTTGAGCACCTGTGCTGCATTTTCTTGCTGGGTAGAGCTAGTAATGGTGCAAAGTATTGACTGATCAAACACAATTGTCACACGTTGTTAGATGACTGCTTTAAAAAAAAAAAAACACTAAAATTGCCAGTCTATGATTCTCAAATAAGGCAAACAGCAAGTAAAAAACAAACTAGAGAAATCTCCTCCACTGTTGCTACTGCTGTGTTCACTGAATTTATGTGACCACAAAAGCTAAAGAGATCTTTGCTTACTTTCACAGTTCGGACATGTGTACTGAAGCAGGGTGCGAGTACTTCTGGGTTTGGATTTTTAACCAGACCATGCTGTACCGTACTGCCTGGAGGTAAAACACCATTTGAGCTGGTTGACAAGTGTCGTCAAGTTAAGTTAATTCAAGAAAAGCTGCATAATCAGTTACCTGACAATTTTAAGGTGAGATGACTTTTTTTTTTACAGTGTAGTACCGATGAGGTGGAGGCCCTGTGTTCTCTGAGAGTCAGTGACAATAAAGAGAATTGAGTTACAAGATGAGTAGAAGGACAGAGTAAGAAGTGAAAGTCAATGCTTCCAGAGGATAAAGGCCTGGGTCAGTGGTGATGGACACCAAGTGATTGGGTAGTTAAAGCACTTGAAGTGATGAGAGTGATGAGAGGCCACTGATGCATGGTGTCCCATGATGCCTCTCACTTCGACACTGCAGACAGCAGGGAGCCCCATTCAGAGATTTTTTGCCTTTCCTCCTGAGCTATTGTAATATTACTACTATCACTATCACCATAACCATCATTATTAATCAGCTTCGTTACAAGTTTTAATAAAACTTCAAACTTCATATGGTGAATATGTTCAAGGTATTAAATCTTAAAGTATATTATACTCAACACGCAAAGTGCTTGAAATGAACCTGTTTTGAGGCACACAAAATAATTTCAATACACAACAATGATGGGAATAATAATAATAGTACCAGTAATAATAATAATGATAAACAGTTCCAGTTTTAGTAAAAAAAGAAACAAAACAAAACAAAAAAAACAGAACAAAAAGCTGTGTAAGCAGGTAAATCCTTCACTGACTGAAGTATCAATTCCATTCAGGCCAGTGGCCAGCATTCCTCGCTGCTGTCCAAGTCCACAGGCTGCTGTGTGTCCAGTCTGTGTGTGTGTGTGTCCGTGTCAGCACAGGCCTGTGGCATGGCCCTCATCAGAGCGAGACAGATGAGAGCGTCCATGCCAGCGTCCAGAGTGGCGCAAGCAGCCAGGTGGGCGAGAGCTGTAGTCGCGGCCCAGCAGGCGAGCCTGAGTCTGATGTACAGGAGCACACCTCGTAGCCATTCTCTGCATGGTCCACAGGGTGCTGACCGGGCAGCCGCACGCCTGTCCCATTATTCTGTGTTTCTGGAGAGTCCGACTGCATGTCTGCACACACCAGCCAGTCTTTACCAATGGGACGCGGGTAACTAGCCTCTACCTCCATATCACTGCCAGCAACCCGCCAGTACTCCTTCCCTTTAAAGAAGTATGAGGCACCTGCAAGGAGAAAGACACACAAATGCGACAGAATGAGAAAGAGATATGATTTATCATATTTCCCAAATGCACACAACCATTTAAAAAGTTTAGAATCACTGGTCAAAAGTTCAGAATCTCTGTTTTCAAAAATGTAAGAACAATTTTGGTGAAGAGACATGTTGAAAATTACTGTAATATGATGCTATGGAACTTCATAGGTTTTAATTCATTCGTAAGAAGCTGTAACAGAATCTTAGATGTGTCCTGAAAAGAGCTATAGATGACTCAATAATTGAGAAACCTGTAAAAATCCAGCACAAAATAAAGAATTCATTCAAAACATTCAGAGTGCCTACATTTGAAAAACGCTAAAATCTTTAGACTGATAACTTGACACAAAATTACTACAAATAGATAATTAGACAAAATCATTCAACATTAAACAACTTAAACAGTGAATAAAATGTTCCTTGTTTATTTTAGTTTATACTGTATATTGTCCTTTTGAATAAAATAACAATGAATATTAATATGAAATACAAACTTTTCAGTGGTAGTGTAAACACTATAGTTCAAAATGTTTGTAATCACTTGTCATATTAATAACTGTTATTCAATTAAATCTTATATGGTGTAAATCACAATGTTATAAACTAAACATAAACTGATGGTTTATTCACAAATAAAAAATATTTTGCAAACAACAATTCGTTCTGACATGATAAAGAGCAAAACTGTTATTTTATATATATTTCCTGTTATCTATATATTTATCTATATACAGTAATTTCTTGTCACTAAATTACTATGAATAGCTATTTGATCAGTAAGATGTGGTCATCACCTTTTAAATATGAGGCATTCTGGATATTAATTTTAGTCTGAGCAAACTTAATAAAAAACGTGGATGCGGTTTAAACATGCTAAAAGGGAGTTTTCAGGATATTCTTACAAAATGTGTGAAATACATGAAAATTAAATTCATGTTACAATCATTTTCTACATGTATCTGCAACAATATTTGCTTATATCATTTAAAACAGTGATTCCAAAGATCTGTATGGTGATTTTTAAGTGTAGCGTATATAGCTTTTCTGCCGTATCACTGGGACTTTTTCTCACTCTCGTCATGTTTTCCTCCTCTCTATGTCTCTCTCTGCTGGTGGAAAGGGCCTGTGGTGCTATCTCTCTGAAGAGGCTCCATCTGCCAAGCCCCCAGGTCTCAGATAGAGGTTCCCCCTTGGGGGCTGGCTGGGCTGAGAACTGTCGCTTTTTAGCTTGGCCTGTGCTCACACACACTTCAAACAGCTGTGAGCAGAACCTCTGGAGTTGGCAGCATCTCAAAAAACCACACACCTGACATGCTAACACACTTCCCTCCACACACATCCGGCTGCCAGAGCGGCTGCAGGGAGGAACATTTACACTGCTCACACTGAGCCTAATGCTGTGCCTTTGTGTGTGAGTGAGAGTTAGAGAGATACTGGGGGTGAAACAAAACTACATTTTACAGGTTTGATATGATTTTTGATTCTGAGGTCAAGATTTGATTCAATTTTTGATATTTTAAGGGTTTACAATGCTGATTCTACAGAGCTGTAAATATATACTACACAGATTTCTTTGATAAAGATAAATTAAAGCTCTCGATTAGAAATTTTTTGTTAGAGAGCCAGCCCTCTAACAAAATAACCCAAAAATCACAACCCCTAGAATATATAAGAAATTTCAAACAACAAGCTCAGGCATTTGAGCGTGTCTATGTCCATAACATAAACCCCACCCTTTTCTCTGATAGAATGCATCCAGATGTCTAGGACACAGGTTTCCACAAGAGCTAGACACTAAGAAAAGACCAAAGGGCATATCAGCGATGTAGTTTTACAATTTCAACATTCATTTTTTCAAATGTTCTGATACTTCAAATACTATTGAATTTTACACTCTTACAAGATACAGGGAGCCAGACAGATTCAAAGAAAGGTGAGAAAGTGAACAGGGCCTAAAAGATTGTATAGATTATAATGGGATATTTGTCTGTGTGTGTGTGTGTGTGGTCTGAGAATATTGAGTTTTTCTTTTCTGAACAGAAAAATGAAAAATGAGGAAATGGCATGTTATTGAAAACTGGGAGTGGGAGTAAGATGGGTGAAGAGAAAGAAAAAGAGAAAGACACAGCCCGTGGGAGAGCATTTATGCTGTGATGAACACTGTGGTATGGTCTGGCTCACTACAGTGCTGCATTGATTGGCATCATGATTGAGTGGTGTCTGTGAGAGCATGACTCCTAGTAGTTCTTTTTCTTGTATTTTTGAGGCATCACTATAATTTTACACAGTTCTGATGGTTCTGAAATTTCGCAAAGAAATTAGAACTTTCTCCTAATCTTTCTGTCAAATATTGACATTATATATAATACATTACTTTGGTAGATGCAAAGAAAATAAGCAGGATGCCTAACTGCAATAAACATCATACTACATAAATATGAAGCTCAAGCAAACAAATGATTCCTGGTGGGCACAGAATGATTCTAGAAAAATGGCACATAGGTCTATTGCATATCTTTGAATATCTTTGAGAAAGTACTATTCTACAAACTCTCTCACATCAATGATACATGGAAGCCCATACCCACCAGGTAGTGGAGAAAAAAAATGCCTTTTTTTCTCCTTCTGCTTCTGGCAGCAGTTGGTCAAAATATTGACTTTTTGTATTTTAAACTAATGACTTATTTTCTCAAAATGTTTAACTTGTATCTCAAAATAATGACTTATTTTTTGAGATTTTGAAATGTCGGAGTTATGAGTAAATTTTAAAAAGATAATTAAGATAAGATAATTTGGTAACTATTAAGACACTTGTAGTCGTTATGCATTATTCTGACACAGTAAGTTAATATTTTGAGAAAATATTTTTTTATTTTGACATATTAAGCCAATCTCTTGAGACAATAAGTAATTATTTTGAAACACTAAGTCAATACTTTGTTCTCTTCCTGGCAGGAATGGGCTTCCATAGTGATATCATATTGTCATTATAAGGTAAAACTGAGTGGCTGTGAGAGTGAAAGCACAAGCAAGCCGAGTGTAACAACGGAAAAGGTATGTAATCACACCAGTGGTTGAGAGTGCCACTGCACTGAGAGCCACTGCAGACAGCTTTTGACATTCAAATGTGCATTTTTTCCATTAAAATCGTCAAATATTTGAAATTCTTTGCTTTGTCATCCCTAGAGCGTCCTCCAGGAACACACAAACCACCATCATCCTTTTAGTGTAATATGTTGTTATTATATGGAAAAATAAAAGCTGTGTGTGTCATAACAATAGCATATTATACACACACTGTTATATAACCTACTCTCAATAGCATCAAGGTTCATGAAGTTGTTGGCATCTAAGCTACAGTAGATCTAGACACATGCATTCCACTGCAGACATTTTTATTAACTGATTAAATGTATTTTAATACTTTCAATACAGCATATGATGCGTTTTCAAATGAATAGCTTACAAGCAAACCTTCAAGGAAAATGGCTTTTTCATCTCCTCATTGAAACCAATTTAATCCTTAATTTACAAGCAAAATGAAAAGAATGTATGTGTCTACATCTACATTCTCTCATGTCTCCAAAGGCTTTTCAATTTTATTCACAGAAGGATGTTTCAAAGGCATGCTCTCCAGTCTTAAGTGAGGTAAAGACTAATACCATCGAAGCAACATGCACACACACAATAGTGCGCATTAGACAGGACATGATGCCCCCGCTGCCTTTAGCTCAGACAGACTCCTCAGCTGCTGCTATGACAACCATACAATTAAAAACATCTGTCAGCAGTTCTTTCATAACCCAAACAAGACAGCCATTTCTGCCAATTCAGAAAGTATAACACAAAATATATATACACAATTGTATATATGTACTGTATCATCTTGACACCTTCACCAAAGATAAGACAGTGAATGTGACAGATGTGTTGTTCTAAACAAAACATACTAGCAAGGATATACAAGACAGGATATACAGGCTTGTTGTTCTGGCCTGTCAAAATGCTTTGATCACATATTTGGATATATTTTCTAATAAAGGGACGTAAGCAGAACCATGTGTGATTCCTACACGGACAAAAGAGATAGAAGAATAAAGCTGCTGTGCATTTCAAAGAAACATAGAGAGCAAGGACTATGAAAGAAAGAGCTGGAATATCAGCACTCACTATCAGACCAGCGCATGGCATCATCGAGCTGAGCGGGAATCCCTTTCCATAATGTAGTGTCTTTAGGGTAGCCCGGGTCCATGTGCCGCAGATGGTCGTCATAGCGCCAGTAACGGTTGTCCTTGAAAAAATAGGTCTTGTCATTATGCAGCCAGACAAAGACAGCATCCACACCCTCCATGGGCAGTCCAAAATCACTGATCGGCCGTGGATAGCCTTCCTCCACAATGTTGTCCTTGAACACCCAGTATTTCACTCCTAAAGCGAGAAAGAGGAGAATTTTTAGTCAGTTACCATGAGCTGAGAAAAAAGTTCAAAATAAAAACTAGGGGTGCACGACTGTAACTAACTAGGACTGGTTACTAGGTTATAGTATGTTCAAAATGTCGCTGCCAGGATCTTCACCTTTTCAAAGAATAATCATATCACCCTGGTCCTTCAGAGTCTTCACTGGCTACCCATTACATTCTGTGTTCAGTATAAGGCTCTTCTTATTACATATAAAGCTTTGCATGGTCTGGCTCCTCAATATTTGGCAGAGCTTCTTCATCTATACGTCCCATCCTGTACTTTAAGATGACAAAATTTAGGCCTTCTTCAGGTTCCAAGATTTAAATTGACTTCTATGGGTGGTCAATCATTTAGTGCAGTAGCTCCCAAATTATGGAATACTCTCCCCCAGTTTATTTGGGATACCAGCTCTCTATCTTCATTCAAACCTCTGTTAAAAACTTGCTTGTTTTCACTGTGTTATCGTTGTTCCGCTTATACTTGAATGTTTACCTGTATTGCCCTTTTGCTGTTAATTGTTTAATGTGTTGATGTTCCTTGACTGTAAAGCGACCTTGAGCATGGGAAAGGCGCTACATAAATTAAAGTGATGATGATGATGACTGAAATCAGTCAATATTTGCTCCTAATACTCTATCAGTAATCAGATGATTTATTTTCATTTTGGCTGATCTATGCTGAGATTTTATGATGTAAATAACGTAAGTCAGCTAAGTACACATCTTTGTTGGGTGTAAAAAAAAAGTTTATTAAAAAATATATATAATAAGAACTGCCAAACGATTAAAATAACGAATAGCTATTATTAAAATAATCACATCTGTTTTATTTGCGCAAATTGAACACAAAGAAAGATTTTCTTTGATTTAAAGATTGGACCAAGTATGCTTCAACAGAATGTTTGTATTACTTGTTATGACTCAATAGCATTATTTGTGAACTTGTGAATTTGTGAACTCTGTCTGGCTTCACATGAACTAAACATAAAGGTCATAAAAATAACCTAAGATAAATGCAGTTTTCTATGTTCATCACCAACGTCTACTGAGAGCCACAGTGGCTGTGTGTTCCAACTCCTCTGGGCCTCTTGCACTGCAACGTTACCTTTTGTTTTGAGGGAAACTGTAGCTTTCCACTTTGATGTGCTGTGTTTGCTTGTAAATAATATTTCAGTCTCAACCTCAGTGATAAACATAGCACTGCAGTAGCTGGGAATACCTTCGGTTTAATTAAGGCAGTAATAATGGAACTTGATATTTAAAAGCTGTATTTGAATGAGAGGAGTGCGAGACTACATGAGAAGAGTCATAGTGACAGCGTCCAGAAAAAAACACAGTGTGCGATCAGCTGAGCTTCAGGGTGGAACTATGGATGGTTGAAAGGGACAAACCAGAAAAATGCAGTTAAAACAGAGTTAAAAAAATTTGTGGAGTACATAATTTAGCGCTTTAACATGTTATTAATGCATTAACTCTGACATCTTTAAATATAATATGTACAAATATTTTGTAATATGATCATTATTTAAATGTAATTTATAACCCCATTTCCAAAAAAGTTGGGACACTGTGCAAAATATAAATATGAACAGAATGCAATGATGTGCAAATCATTTAAGCCCTATATTTAAAGGAAGATAGTACAAAGACAACATATCACATGTTGAAACTGAGAAATATTGTTTTAAATGTATGCCCATTTTGAATTTGATGCCAGCAACACATTTCAAAAACGTTGGGATGGGGCAACGAAAGACTGGTAAAGTTGTGTTATGCTAAAAAACCACCTGGTAGAACAACTCACAACTAATTGGGTTAATTGGCAACAGGTCAGTAACATGACTGGGTATAAAAAAAGAGAGGCTGGGCCTTTAAGAGCAAAGATAGGGAGGGGTTCACCATTTCTGTGAAAGACTGCGTGGGCAAATAGTGAAACAATCCAAGAATAACGTGTCTCAATGTAAAATAGCGAAAGAACTTGGGGATTTCATCATTGACTGCACATAATACCATTACAAAATTCAGAGAATCCAAAGAAATCTCTGTATGAAAGGGACAAAGCTGAAAACCAATACTGGATGGCCGTGATCTTCGGGCCTTCAGGCAGTACTGCATTACAAAACAGACAAGATTTTGTAGTGGAAATCACTGCATGGGCTCAGGAACATTTATAAAAAAACACTTTCTGTGAACACAGTTCATTGCTGCATCCAGAAATGCACGTTAAAACTCTACCATGCAAAGAAGTAACCATATATAAACAGGATTCAGAAATGCTGCTGCCTTCTCTGGGCCAGAGCTCATTTAAGATGGACTGAGACTAAATGGACAAGTGTCACTGCATCCTCTGGGCTAAAGATCACCCGGCTTGTCATCTGTGCACATTTCAAAAGCCAGCAAAACCACATTCTGCATGTGTTACAACAGCAAGGCTCCAGAGTAAAAGCAAAAAATATGAAAAAGGAGGCTCCGACTGTTGAGCAGCTGAAATCCTATTTTTCAGCTTTCAAAACTATAGAAATTGCTCTCCTTAGTTCCTAAACACTTACAGAGTGCTGTAAAGGAAGACGTGATGCAATACAGTGGTAAACATGCCCGTCCCAACTTTTTTTGAAACGTGTTGCTGGTACCAAATTCAAAATGGGCATGTATTTTTTTTAAGAATAATAAAATTTCTCAGTTTCAATATTTAATATTATTTTCAATGAAATACAGGGTTTAATGATTTGCACATCATTGCATTCTGTTTCTATTTACCATTATAAATGGCTATCAGTTTGTTAATTTGATAATTTGTTTGTAAAAAATAGCATAATGTGTGTTTTATATTACACTGTGCATCGAATTAATAATATGCTATTATTTTTGTGGATGAATATTTAAACCGATATTACTCTTGGGTGACACCATATGTTTGTTTGGGATGAATATCTAAACTAAGACAGCCTTTACAGTCAGTCTGTGAAATTATACAGAAGGCTGTGTCTACTGATGAGAACATCCCAAGCATACCTTTGAAGAAGACAATTTTATGGTCTCCAGGTCTCTCATATATGGCATCTATGCTGTCCAGGTTGGCTGGCAGACCCCTCCAAAAACGGTGAATCTGAGCTGGTCTCAAGGACACCAGGTGCCTCTCTCGCGTCAGACGCCAAAAGTACTTTCCTAAGAGGAGTACTGAGAGTTAGAATACATTCGACTACATGTGTATGTGTGTATATGTTTGCTTCTGTGTGTTACTCAAGCTGTTATGTTGTGCTATTGCATAGCTGTACAGGAAACTGTGCCTAACCAAAGGGAAAACATGTGCACATACCCTGGGGCAGTGGATACCCAAGTGCTCAGCTGTCTGAACTAGTCAAGCAAACAAAGAAAGGCCTTTTTTATTTCAGCTGTGGGGATGAACATGCATGGTGATGCAAACCGCATCTCTTTTTCCATCACAGTCAAAACAAAAGACCACTTGCAATCAAGTCAAAGGTCTGTGATCAAACATTCAGAGCTTGCAAGTTTCTAAAAGCGTTTTCCTGATTTAAAGCATCGGAATAGGCCACTGATCTCCTTGGAGGGCTGCTGTGTGTACAGTGACTGCTAGGTTGCATTGATTTCAGCCTGGTCCTCCTCTCCAAATGTGTCTGTACCTTTAAAAAAGAAGGCCTCGCCTCGGATCTGGGCCACTGCATCAAAGTGACCAGTGCATCTGTCAGGGGCATCTCGCGCTGGTCTGAAAGATATAAAGAAAAAGTAGAGAGAGAGAGAGAAAAACAAATGAGAAAAAAAAGACTGAAGGCACAGCTCGGTAACAGAGGACGGTGAAGAACACATAACCTATCACACTATTGATCTATTGTATTACAAAGAGACAAGACTGTGTGCGTGTGTGCTTATGTAATTATGCAGTCCTGTATGTTTTCATTCTTGGCTTGCAATATTTGCGTAGACACCACGAACATGTTTACGTAAACTTGTTAGGTATTTCAATTAAAACTGGCCAAACATCAAGGGAGATCTTATCACTCGCTTGCAGGAGGGGCCTTTGCATGCATTATCCCTTGGCTAATGACTGATTTAGGGGTTTGTCGTGTTCGGGTTGCTAACGAAGCAGCAATTATAGTGACAGTGCTTCTTTTGTGAGCTAGAACTCGCCCTGCAGCTTATTAACAAAGATCTTCATTCACAGCCTATTAAGAAAGCTCTCAGAGAAGAACGCATTAATGACCTTTGTCGGACTAAATCCACCTTTTCCACCTGTCATCTGTGAAGACGGAGTAAGAGAAAAATGAAAAGGTACAGGCTGCTTGCAGACACAAAATGTCCACTTATGAGGAGACAAATACCGTTATTTGTTTGATTCTGACATTTGCTTTATAAGGGCTGGGTGTTATTGTCTCAGCATCAGCACAACATGTTCAGGGCACACTGATCTGGGGTCTGTGTATGTGTGGAGGTCTACTCACGGCACGGTGGATCTATTCTCGGGCAGGTCCAGCAGAACAGGTGGGTCGGCAGTACGTGAGGGGTCATCTGGACGGATGGTGTGAGAGACCGAGTCCCGTACACCTGACGAAAGACCCAAAAACCTCACACGTCATATCAGAACAACAAAACAGCATGTACCAGCACATTCAAATACATTTTCCAGCACACTTTTAAAACCACATTTAGAGTGAGACAGTCCTGAAATTTTTGCTTGAAGCATATTATTTAGCCATTCTGCATGTTGCAAGAATAAAGAAATTTGGTTTTGGGCAGACTGTATTTTTGCAACGCGAAAATGCTAAAGCTTTTCAGAATGAATGAAACTGGGTAGCATTATGTAAATGCAATCATGCTAACTGATCACCACTAGTTTTCCTTAATTGTTAGCTACATCAGTATTTTGAGAGACTTTCTTTTAATCAGTGTGCCATCACAAATGACTTTTTTTAAATATATTTATTTACATATATTTATTTTTTTAAAGTCTGCTGCCACTTTTAATTTACTGAACGAATTACAGCTGTCACAATTACTTGATTAAACTCGTCTGCTAGAGTAAAAAAATAATCAATTAAAATTTACCTCCTTGATGAATTGGCGATGATTAGTTGCCAGTTTGCTTGATGATGATGCATATTTTAAATTCTCCTACTGGGGCCTGTTTCACACAGTACTTTCAACATCCTGACTAAATTTCAGCTTCACAAAACCTAACAAACACAGCGGCGACTCATTTGAGCAACTAACATTCTCTGCTAGGCCTGGTTTAGATAATCAGGCTGTGATTAATCCTTGTGCACATGCATATGAAAGTATGATGTTTATGATGAATAGCCAGCTGTGTGAAACATGAGAAGTCAAGTGCTACGTAAATATGTAGAAAGAAAACCAGTTATGATGGTATGATTTGTAGTATGATGGTGCCTCAGCTGAAAAAGCAACAATTTTCTTGTAACTGATGCCAAACTTCATGAAATAAGAAAGTGGCCAGAGGTGTCTCCTTCAATCCCTAAATGGTCAGGAGCTCTGTCGCAATTGGTCTAAAAGCTGTTTATGATCCAAACTCTTGACCTTAACCAGCCCTGGAGCAGGTTAGGTGTGTAGCATAAGATTCCCATGGTGATGTAGTCTGGTAAAAAGTAAACCATCATAATGAGAGAGAAGATTTGGCTCCTGGTCTCTCTTACAGTAACAACCTGAGCCTGAAGGACACACCATTTTTTGCCCATTTCTTTTAAAGAATGAGGTTGTTTTAACCTATCAATGTGCATTTTCTGATCACAATCAGACGCAGTATGATGGAACTGTGATTGTGTCACTTAAACCGCATTTAGTTGTCAGAGATGGATCTCGACCACATTCAACACAGGTGTAAATGGAATGAGTTTTCTATATCTGCATACAATAAATGGAAATGGGTCTGCCAAGTGCTGACAGCGGGTGAGAGAATGAACAGAGAAATGCACAACAGAGGTCACACAAGTCTGAAGTTTCCTTCAAACCACGAGCTTGTCAATTCGTGCTTGTGGGCTCGTTTTAGTGAAAAGTGTAAATGGAATTCAGCCAAAGTACAGGGTGATCCAAAAAGATTCATCCAATTTCAAAATTATTTATTTCACTTATAAATCATTACAGAACAATGCAGTAAATTGTAAATGGTTTAACTGAGCATAAAGTTTATTATGTAGTTTTACAAGTGCTCAATATGAACCTTCTCCAGCTGTAGGACAACATCAACACGAGAGTCAAATTCATCCCATACTTGATTGAGCATGTCGGGTGTCACTGTACTCACAGCTCTTTTAATGTGAATTCGGAGATCATGCAGTGCTGTTGGGAGTGGTGGCACATAAACAGAATCCTTAACGCTCCCCCACAAAAAAAGTCACACGGCGTGAGATCTGGTGATGCTGGTGACCTTTTTCTTGGACTGTTGGTGCTAACGACAAATGCTCTGAGCTGTTGGAGGTTCACTTCCGTACTGACCGTCAGGAACTCGATGATGTTCTCTTTCAACTGGTATGTAATTGGTTCCTAGGCGCCTCACGGTTGTACAAGTACGGCACTTCGGATGAATCTTTCTGAATCACTCTGTATATCTACAGTTGATCCAGACATGACGCATGTTAATGAAATGTGAAAGGCTCTAGTTTTAGGCTACGCGCTGTTATTGTTCAGTTATTTTTGTTTGGCCATTTTGACAAAAATAAATCACTTATTTACTTATAAAATCAATAGCAACTACCCTAGAACAAATATCCTTCATTCCAACTTCTAAGAAAAACAGAGCAGAAATTCAGTCACAGGTGGAAGTGTTAATGACTTGACTAGATTCAAACAAGCCTGAGTAGGTCAAACTCTGCACACTGTCAAAGTCAGTCAAACCTAGCTCCCTTCCTAATTCTGTCTTTGTAACAGGATCTCACAAATCCTGGTCCATCTACAGCATTCTTCACCATAGTTCTCCTGTCTCTGCCATAACTCTCTCTTATCCTTGGTATTTGACATTAATGCTTCATCTCCCTTTCACTCACTATCTACATCTCTCTCCTCCCCCGTCATCTCTCTCCCACTCTCCCCCTGTTTTTCTCTCTCTGGGTTGGTCCTGGGCATTTTGCGTAGAGGCTGGGTAGTCTGTGGCATGCTGTGCTGTGATAAGCTCGGTCTGAGCCACCGAGACGGCCAATTAAACCCCGCATTCTCCATCTGTCTCCAGGACCGCCGTGTAATTAAATCAATAATCCCCCAATTTAAACAAATCAATTCTCCTTCCTGTGCCCCTATTTTGAGGCTCACGTCTCTGCACCACAGGATCATACAGAGGTGCCTGCTGAGGGGGCACACAGCGCCACAGACCCACCTACAATCCCTGCTAATTATGGTGAGCGCCTGTGCTGCTGCGCGAAAAAGGAGAGGAATAGAAGGGAGAGAGATGGAGAGAAAGAAAGACAGAGAGATGAAGAAAGAGAGAGTGAGAGAGAGATGCACAGCAGTCGCTGCCTTTTGTGAACAGATTGGGGCATCTGTTTGTCTGTCAGTCTGGGCACAAGCTCAGTTCCTTCACCTCGCCTCCTCTCATCGCTCTGCTCTGCTTTCACAACTACTATGCAGAGGCAAAGGTAGGCGAGCGTCTGTCCCTGTGCACTGCAATAGATGTTATCCTGGAAAGAGAAATCATCTAAAATCTACAGTGTGTTGAATGAATATTATTATAAGATATTTCACTACATAAAAATACTTAACAATGAAATATGTCTAGCAATATGCTAAATAATCTTATAACTACAACCATTGTTTCAATAAAAGTATTTATTTGAGTTGAATAAAACTAGCTCAATTACTTGCTACCAAGTAATTAGTGTACCAGACTGCCAGTTCACAAGCTCTTCAGACCATGAATTATTAGGTTAAATTTTCCCATTTAAAACTTGTTGAGATGATGCTGAATATTGCAGGATATATTTAAATCTGCAGGTCTTATGATTTGAAAATTACTCTCTTTCAGATTGCAATTTAGTTGTAGAGACGATTAATCGTTCAGCCCTACTTTCCAAGATTTTCTGCAATGTGGTGCTTGTCTCACATTGACTGACAGACTGCCACCCTGTCTTTATTTTAAGTGACTGAGAGGAAGAAGCAAAGTATGCAGACATGCAGGAGAGAAGGGAAGAGAAATGCACAAGACAGACTGAGAGAGAGAAATGTAGTGTGGAGGACTGCAATGTAGGAGACAGAAAAAGTAATGTAGAAGAGAAGAATGCAGGAGAGAGAAAATAGGAAGCAAATGACTTAACATCACCACTGCATTACTCTCCTTAAAGCAATAGTTTGGCAAAAAAAAAAATCACATTTCTCACATCAAATGCAGTCATCCAGCTAAGACTGGTGCCTGAAGTCTGTTCTTTAATTTTGGGCAGGAGCTATGAGAAAGCTAATGCAGCCCGATAACTTTGATGCAAAACCAAAGAAGCAAACTTCAGAAGCGACTATTACTTTTACACTACGACAGACAGTAATGCAGCAGAAAGAAATGTAACGTATGAATTAGAGAGAGTAACAGGGAGAGAGTATGATGGAAGATAAAATGTTTAGAAAGTGTTTATTCTTACCATATAGCTGCCAGACTCTGACCTTGTCTTCATAAGGGAGATCGTATTTGAGCGGGTCGCCTACAGGGCCCTGGTAGTACGGTCGCATGATGGACTCAATGGCAGACGTATGGGCAAGCCCTATGGCATGGCCAAATTCATGTACCGCCACAGCAAATAAGTCCATCCCATGAGAATCTGCAGACAAACAGAAAGCCTTAAGAACATATTCGTGCAAAGATTAAGACATCTTAGACTACAGCACTTAATGATCACCTCCCAGAAAAATAGAAGCCAGGACACAGAGTTGCATAACACTGTAATTATGAACGCAGTGCTCTTTGATTTGATGGGGATTTGATGTCACTCTAAAATGCTTCTAATCTTTTTCATTTTTGGGGTGTTCTTATTCCTGCATTCATCTACACAGACAGACGGTTTTAAGAGGTTCACTCAGACACAAAGGCTTTCACACCTTCCCGTTAAATGGCCCTGAGAGATAGCAATATAGTCAGAGCCAGGAAGCTGTCAATCAAATATTTAGTCAGAGCCCCAAGCTTTGCAGCTGGGTAAAACTACTGAAAGATGCTCTGGTTGTCCTCCTCTGTAAATCTGGAAAAAGCAGAACTCAGCTAGTCTGGTTCGTTGGAAGCCAAGAATTAAAGCTGCGATTCGCTGATTAAGATTAAGACTTAAAGATTAGGATGTGCGTCTCGAAACGAGTCCTTAGCCTCCCCTGCAGGTTCCACGGTTTGCATGAGCGTCAACACACATTAAAGATTCCACGACACAAAAGGCAACTTTTCCAGGGTTGTGGAAGTTACCTGGATGACTTACGGGCATAATGCACACTCTAATCTGCAGGTGCACATGTTCTGAAAGGCGAACGTGAGCCTGAAAAATGCAGCGACTCCACAGAGTTCCATTTTAATGGTGCTCTCATTCAAACACTGCTGCATTTATTTGTGTCTGTCAGAGGCCTGCGGTGCTTTGCAATGATCGTTTGGCAGTGGTAACAAACTCTTTCAGATGAATCTAGCTATGTCTAGGCTGCTCTGAGGAAGCAGACATACAGCATGCCAGATAAAGATTCTTCTGCTTGCACACAGAGGCCAGGAGCTGCGTGCCTGTCTATTTGAGTTTTCTCTGCGTGTTATACTTTTGAATGTATCATTTTGTTATTCACCTTTCTTTTATAAGACAACTTGACTGCTTTAGTTGATTTAAGCAATTTGAGTTTATTTTTGCAATTAAACCTGAGTAATTGTAATTTAGTTTAATTCCATTTATACTTGATTTCATTTCCTTTTATGTTCGCTTAAAAAAATATGCAAACACCATTTTTTTGCCTGGCATCATCTCCATGATTTTGTTTCTTATATTAGTAAGCAGTTGCTGTCATACTACAAAGGCTTGCGTACTTAGGCTTTATTTGGGCCTTGTTTTACTAACACACGCAATTTGTAACTGCAAACAAATGTGCATTTGTTCTGATAGGTCCTGATAGTGTGGGTTCCAGTTTCCTTTCTCTTTCAATTATGCACATTCAGAAAGGCTATTTGAGTGTTACTTCACCCTCTTCAGCTCCCCTGTGTCAAAAATCTTCAGGCTGCCAAAATGAATGAGCGAGCTATAAGCCAGGTCAGTGTGCTTCTTATCTAACAAGAAATCACACAAGGGCACATGTAACTCCCATCCATTTTCAGTGTGTTAAGAAAAGTGGCCAGTTCCCAGTACTAATGAATGACAGCTAGGTAATACAGGTGATAATGGACCATGGTCATTTTTTATACTCACTGTCTGGTTCAATGTACCTCACACACACAGAGCACACGCACACACACACAAATCGGAAGCTAGTGCCAAATTGCAAAAGTCATCAAAAACACACCTGCTTAACGAGGCTTCTATTCTGGCCACAATAATCTGTCTGCATTAGCAAGTAACCAGAGGAGAGAGAATTAATAAAAGCAATCCGCATGCTGTCAAAACAAAGCAGCACTCCCTCGACTCCACTTAGCTGACCCAAGGGAGCATCCCAAACCCGCACCACAGGACGCGTTAGCTGCCTCTCAACCAGTAAGGCACCGCCCACCAGCTTATATGGAGCATTTAGCATTCTGCAAGACAGGCGCTTCTCCTTGTGCCCCATTTTGGTTTAGAGCTAATTAGACACATTAGCAGACTGTCCTCAAAGGGGAAAGTTCTTAGGTCCTGCCAAGAACAATACACTCAAAGATGTTTCCCCAGACTGTGGAGGAGGTGGAGGAGTGGGTAGTGGAGAAAATGCAATTACTCAAGTTCTTGTTCCTATGATGAGGTCCATCCATCTTAAGGAGGTCTGAATCTGCTGAACCTCAAAGGGTTACCTTCTTCTCCTAACTTTACATCACCTCATGGCTGAATTGTAACATGCGTTCAACATACTGGGACAAGACATGCATCCTTGTTGAGCCTCTCAGAACCAAGCTCTAGAGGAACCGACCAAAGCAGTCTGTCTGCTGGACTGTGAAGCCATTTTTTAATGACGCAATAAGAAATTAAAAGTAAACGAAATTTATGTGCCAAAGCCCCCCAAAAAAAAATAAAATAAAAAATAAAACACAATGAAAAACTTGTGCTTCCAGAGTGAATCTGAGAACAGAGCTACATGCTATTTTTGGTGATCATTAAATGCATTAACTGAGAAGCATACTTGGCAGAAGAAAGGTGGGGAACTTGTAATGAGGCTTGACTCAAGACAAGGCAACTTTTCTGGCATAACGTTAGTGTGAAGGCACCCTAAAAAAAAAGGATTTAAAGTGATGGCTGAACAATGCCTTGTGGCAGTGATGTATAAAGGTAAAGTAGAGCAGAACGGGGATGGTCTGAAGAGCATGTAGGAGGGCCAGTGGCAGGTGATGTATTCATTAATCGCAAGATGGTAGGATAGCTAAAAAAGTGTGAACGTGAAGATGAGATGACAATGCTACTGCAGGGACATGAAAACCTACAAAATGAAAAAATTCAGCAAGTCTCTAGCGCTAAATTAAAAAGTTTGGTTCAAGAGAATCTCACTCTGACAGAAAAAAACGAGCTCTGTAGGAGTCAGACATTAGCATTAGTAACATTAGTGCCAGTTACTCAGAAGGGTGTAAAATGTTAACTGCAGCCTAGTAGATGATGTACGCTGTGCCATGCCTACTGAGAGGCTGAGCGAAGTCTTAAGACTTTCTGAAGTGTTCTCCCTTACTCACTCTCTCTCTTTCCATCATTATACACACACCTGCCAAGCCCCCATGCAAACATCTGCTGGCCTGATGGGAGGCCTAATTGGTGCATGCTCCACTGCTGTCCAGGAGCATATGGCCCCAGCCCCCAGAGAGGGTTGAAGGGAGGGAGAGGAGGGCACGCCTTGAACCCAGCGGGGAGTTCACTGGCTGGGCAGCTTTGTATAACAAGGAACCCTCACCCCTTCCTCCCCCTTTTGCACTGCCATGTCTCGCACAGGCTGCAGACTTCTGAAAGGGTTCAGAGGAGGCCCTAAATAGAGGGCCAGGGCAATCAGATGATGCAGAAGTGCATCTGCTGCTCTCAGACTGGCCTTAGCTCCAGAGGCCTGCTCTAGACATATTACATAAGAGCAGAGTGAGGTCGCAAACTCAGCTCAAACTCAAACTCAGGACACCCTACTCTTACAGCCTCACCTGGAGACCTGAAGGTCCAGGCCTCATCATCATCGAAGTGTGTGTCCCCAGCCGTGAAACGCTCTCCTGGGAAGAAGGCGTGGGCCACGGTGCCACCAGGGCCATCAAAGGGGTAGCCATCGTTATGGTCGGCTTTGGTGAAGTCGATCTGGATGTCTGCCTCGTTTCCCGCCACCTCATGGAAGTTTAATGGTGCAATGTCACTCCACACCTTCAGCGCGTAGTACATGAGAGCTCTAACTGTGTCCCTCCCCAGCAGAGCAGACTCCTTAGGAAATGTCCGCACTCTGAAAAGACAATGATATGCAACAATGCTTAAGTGTAGGTTCTACTCTTTTCTTGAGGCTAAGTATTATTCTCATTTTCACATAAGAAAAACTCCAGCAACAGAAACAGACTGTTTTGGCATTTGCATTCAAAGAGAATTAAAGCTAGTGCAAATACTGAGAAACACTCAAAAGCATAGCTTCCTCCTAAAAGACTTCTTGAGGCTCTCTCAATCTGACCCCCCAACTCCTGAACCTGAATTAGTTGAGAGCAAGATTTGTGTAAACAACTGTCCCTGGAGTTTTCTTTCTCTTTCTGTCCTACACAGCATAAGTCAGGTTTGTTCAAACACAAGAAAGGGCGAGTTGGAGGCTGAGCGCCACTCACAAACACGGTAATCTCTTCCACCAAGGGCAATTTGAGCCTCGCGTCCAGGCAGAGCAGAGATCGATGGGAAATTAATTTCCGGTGCCTGCTCTGCAAGTACTAGGGAGGAATGGCACCCTCTGAATGGAATACACTTGTCCTCACAATGCTAAGACTAGGCTAATAGATTCCACTATGTTCTTAGACTTTACAAGAGTCAGATGAAGTGATCATGGCTGCTTAGGTGCTGGTAACGTAGCAACCTGCCACATGTTAACAAGTGATCAAGGGCAGTATGTAAATGTTCTCAGACGGTGACTTAAGGAGTGTTAATGCAGAAAGGTACAAGGGCTACTGTGGGTGCAGGCATGATGCACATTAGCACCAAGCCAAGGTCAGCATCAGCCTGCACTGCATTAGAGATGAGCTAAGCAATCTTCCTGTTAACTGTTTTAACAGTGTCTAACTGATCCGCTACATGGATACTGCATTCACCTGCCTCACCCTGTCACTTTTCCACATGACTTGAGCCTGGTGTGTGATTGGCATACAGATTGGCCCACACATGGATGTGGGTTATATCACATATCATAGCTCTATGATTTGAATAAAACAATAAAGGAGTGAGACTGTGGCACAGAAACATGATATCCTAGGAAAGTGAAATTGATAGCAGTGTAACACCACGCCTCTGTCTTATAGTTTGCACGTCACTGCTCTCAAATTGTTTCTTTTTGGTGGAGAAACAGCAATGGCTGATATGAAATGACACCTTTCCTCAATATATGTGATGCATCATATAGTTTTTCCACCTCAAAGACCCAATCTCAGTAATAGTATACTATACACTGGAGTATTATCTCAGTACTGAGGTATAAGAATTTTGATACTGCCACCCGTTATGGTGACAGATATCTGGTGTCTCTGTTCCTGTGACAATGTAATTGGTGTCTTTGTTAACGCATGTAAAGAACTCAATGAGCTGTATTCAAAACACTTTCTAAACATCGAGAAATGAAGTAAATTACTGTACTGTAGGTGTGGGTGCACAAGCAGGACTACGGATTTCTGTTGGTATTTACATTCACATGAGCTATTGTACTTTGTCTTTTCTATGGGTCATTTATTGACCTTGCTTTTTCACAGTACATCTAGACAGCTGCATTGACCAGCAGTGGGAACTCCTTTAAAATGACTTAGTTTTCGCACTCCTTCGATTTCCTCTTGCATTGTAGCCTGTATCTATTTATCATGATGTCAAAACAGGAGCTCATTTGAAGTAAACTGCGAATGGCTTCCGCACAAGGTGCAGTAAGGTTGGAGAGGTCAGCTGTGAAAGAGGGGGAGGAGCTGGAGAGTTCATTTCAAGCTCAATTTTCTCATCCATTTTTTCTATAATGTGCCCTCAGCAGGGTTTTGTTTGATGGCCATTGGTCTCGCTATTACTCAGCCCTTGAATGAGCAACGGTGGAGGCTAACCTGAGACAGAGGGCAACCTGGTGCGTAAGCATTCTCTAGAGGCTTTCTGTCCCACCATTCACACATCAACCCTAAAACGCTGGCTTTTAATTTCCACACGCAGCCTGTATTTTGCCTCCGAGTGATACGAGCCAGATTAAGCAGACAGGAGAGAGTGCGGGGGGAAACAAGAGAAAATGACAAGCAGAAAAAGCAAGGGAACGGACTCAAAGGAACTCATTTCCTCCTCTCTCTCATCTAAATCGCACAGCAGGGTTGACCTCCTGCAGCTCCCTGCCTCTGAAGGGAAATTTACTGTATGGTGTTTTAATTGCCCAACACAATCAATCTAACCCACATGCGGGCATTGGGAGAAACACAGCACTTGCCTACAGTACTTGCGTGAGGTAGGATGATTCTATTCATTTCTACAGTATCCCACTTTGTTCACCCCTCTTAGACATGCGCCGTGATGAAAATATGTCAGAATCGGGTGAGACATCAACCACACACGGACACAGACCACTTCTGCATCCCAAAGTTGACAGTTTGGATTCATGATGTGCAGCAGGGATGCAAAATGTTTTACTTTTTTAACCTTACCCCAATACTGGCTTTTGCAATACTTATATCGCAGAAGGTAATGGGTCCTTTTATAAGGGTAGGGGTTTTTTTTCTGCATGAACATTCTGACTGATTTCAGATGTACCACATGAATTTCTGAATATGTTTTGATGAGCCAAGGCATTTATGTGATCCAACACAAATAGCTTTATTCTAAATAAAGCTGAAAATTCTTTATGTCATCAGAGGTTGACCAGGAGATCCCACTCGTTGCACATTTTTTTTGTTGCTTTCCTTCATCTAGCAAGCTTAATTCAACTCATTACGTACTTAACAAGCTCCTCATGTACTGGGTGATGTGCATTAAGAGTAGAGAAAACACAGTATTGTGCAGAGCATAAGCTCCTCAAAACTGTATTTGAGAACCACTGGGTTAACCATGTGTTTTAATATATGGCAATGTATAATGCAAATCCAGATGCAGTAGCAGTATAATTGCTACAACATAATCATTGCATTTTGTTTATCGTGCAGAGGAACAGCTTATCTGGGCAAACACTGACTTCTTTTTGTTTACAATTTAACAATAGTTATCACAAACATCATTCCGTTTCAGTGAGCAAACAAAGTCTTGGTACTAAACATTTTCAAAACAAGGACAGAGATTCATAAATGTCAAGAGAAATGGTGGAGATCTTTAAGCATGAGTGTGCCACCATCGCCAATACCTTCCATGGAATTAAAAAAAAAAAAATAAAATAATAATAATAATAATAATAATAATAATAATATATATATATATATATGACAGACCTCTCCAACTCTTCAATGTCTCCTACGCCAGTGTTTTCCAATCCAGTCTTTGAAGATCCCCAGACAGTCCACATTTTTGCTCTATCCCATTTCCCAACACACCTGAACTACACTGAAAAAGATGGTTCTTCAAGGGTTCTTTAGTGAAGAGCCACAAACACTCAAAGAACTCTTTGCATAATTATAGGGTTATTTGCATCATGAAGGAGTTCTTAAGAATGCGCTGTGGAGGGTTCTATATAGAACCCTTTTGAAAAGTGTTCTCTATAGCACCCAAAAGGGTTCTTCTATTCTATTATAACAACACTTTTGGGTGCTATATAGAACCTTTTCCAAAAAGGTTCTATATAGAATCATCTACCGCACATTCTCCATCAATCTGATAAACCATTTCAGGATGCAAAGAACCCTTCAATCATGCAAAGGCTTCTTTGGGTGTTTATGGTTCTTTACAGATCCATTTTCTTTACTAAAGAACCCCTGAAGAACCATCTTTTTTAAGACTGTAGGCAATCAAGACCTGAATATCTAGTTCAGGTGTGCTGAGATCTGGGATACAACAAAAAACTGTCTGTGGGTTCTCTGAAGGCGAAATTGGGAAACGTAGCCCGAGGCCATTCTGACTCAGTTTTACGGAGCAATCATAAAGAGTATGCTCACAGCCCATAGAACTGTTTGACTTAGCAACACATCAGCAGATCCAATGATAAACCTTCTATTCTCTGGAGAAGGTCACTGGCTGCCAAATGACATCCACTGATCTGTACAATTCTAGACTGAAGGGAAATAACTGCAAATATTGCAGCACTGCTAACCTGAATTACAGTTAACCTCAGTCTACACTACTGTGCACTGTGTATACAATGGATGCTTACTTGGTCTTTCATTTGTGATGCACACCATCTGCACGTTTTAGCAAACTGGACCAAATTCTTGCTACATGTAATGTACCTGACGAATAAAGATGACTGCAACCTACTCACATTCCTCCAAAAGTATTTCTCCCTTCCTGATTTTCTCTACTACTGCAAATGTCAAAGTAAAAGTTTTTAGATCTTTAAACAAACTGTAATATAAACAAAGAGAACCTCATCAAACACAAAACAATTTTTTTTTAAACTTATTTAATTTATTAAGAAGCAAAGATATCCAATGCATGAATCACCTGTGTGAAACAGTAATTGATCCCTAAAATTAATAACCTGTTTCATGACCTTTAGCAGCAATAACAGCAACCATTTCCTATTTATTTGATATTGCATTTTTGCACATTGTTGTGGAGGAGCCCACTCTGTTTTGCAGAACTGATATAATTCAGATGGAATGGTAGGTTTTTGAGCAAGAACTACTCGCTTGAGTCTGCCTCCACATCTTTTTGTAATTTCTGTTTTGGATCATTGTCTTGTTGCATAACCCGCTTATGTGTCATCTTCAGCTAATGGCTAGAAGGACAAACAGCCTTCTCTCTCCTAAAAAATAACTCTGATACAGAACAAAATTCATGGTTCCTTTAATCTTTTGAGTGAAAATGCAGTGTCACTATAAAGAGGTGTATATGAACATTTTGTTATTTAGGCCGTTTTGGGAAAAGAACTAAGAGAGACTTGGAGAGGACTATCTTACCATTTAACAGCTTGTAAATATTTGGAAAATTGGAAAATTGGGATTAGCTTAAGTGAGTAGATCTGACAATAAATGCGGATGTGCTTTCAAATTTTAACTTGCTTTAGTGTGACTTGCAATGAAACAACCAAGGTAAAGCGATTGCGTTTTACCACACAGCAGCTAGGTTTACGACCAGGAGACGGGATCAGAAAAAAGGAATAAATATTATTAAATAATATGTACACATGAAGTTTTTTATTTACAAAAGTCAGTGTTTATAAAGTGGCCTTTAAAAGCTAGTAGTAAGACAGTAGAGTAAACTTTTCACTCTTTGCTGAGAGTAAAATTTACAGTATTTTCTTTACTACTTAAGTATCCCGGTGGCTAGTTATATTATTAAAATGCCACTGTAATGACAGAGAACGCCTTGTTTTTTTTTTTAAGAAATATGTTATAGCGCGTGAATATGGCTTTGGAAACGGCTTGCAGTCTGAAGTTTCTCCAGCAGGAAGCACTAATAGCACACGTCACCATATATCTGCACCAGAAGAAGCTTGATCCTAAAAGTTTAATTGTTTTCTTTTGCTTTGCTGTGTCTTCTTCAGGAAAAAAAACTGTGAAACTGTATAAAACTGTTGTGAGATGCACAAAAAATAAGCTTAGATAAGACAATATATCAAATTACCTAGCATATGACGTTTTACTCACTCATAATTATACTTAGCATATCTTTAAAAATTGCAATATAATCAAACTGTGGCTGAATAACAGTCACTAATGCTCACTAATATACTATAGTCAAGGGGCCCTGTGTCTGAGGTACTCTACCTTATGCTAAGATAAGGTAAGAGTTAAATGTGACAAGATGCTGAAAGATGTGAATGCGATAGAGAGTAATGGAGGGTGGCGAACAGAAAGATACTTATCATAACAGCATTTCGCTCTGCTTCCCAGTAATCAGCATGGGAAATCAAGATATCGCAATATGTCTCTGTAGAGGAAAACAGATTCACCCCTACGTAATCGCTCCTAATCTATTTGGGTAATTAAGGGGAGGGTGTTAACGAGTGGGAGGCTGATCTCCTGTGTGGTAATGCTCTAATGTGGAGTGATGAACCCATAGTGAGGGTCTGTCTCTGCCAGGCTCTTCCCGATGCACTGTGTGCCCAGGAGTCCTGTGTAGCTGAGGCTCTGAATTTGGGCTTTCTACCAGACAATCAATCACCTCTCCCTCAGTGCCCACTGAGCGCCTGAGAGCTGTCTGAGGCTCCAGACACTGTCTGCAGAAACATTTTTCTGATCAGAGTGGCCAATACTCAAATCCAAGAGGCATTTATGGGATTTGAAGCTTTATCTTTTTGGCTACTGAAGTGGTGTAGACCAAAGCTATCCTAGTTGGGGAAATGCTAATGACACTCGTTTAGTTATTATCACTTACTACTATACATTTGCAAGTGTGGTTGATCCCGCAACAGAAGGAGAAATGTTGGCAGTGATAAACAAGGAAGAGAAGTGAGACAGAAGTAACTTTAATAATGCGTATATACTTCCCTAAGGACTCATAGCATGCACATCAAAGAAAAAGTCAGCTACAGATGATCAGAGCACTGTGTTTGGGCTGCTTGCAACTCTGCTCTGTGATATTGATCCGGTTCTCCAGGGTCTGCTATAAAAAAGCTCCCCTCACAGCAACCTGTATAACAGCATTTCAAGGAGTTTGGCAGCAGTCAGTCTGTTTCTCTCTCTTTCTCTCTTGCTCTCTCCCTCTATCCCTGCTCCATTACCCTGGGATCAAGCAAGGCTTTTTATCACTGCCCCTAAAACAAGCCATTATGAGGGTTATTACCTCGTCTGGCCTCTAACCTGGCTCACAGATGCTTCTCCACCACCTCGTCTACTCCTCACATACAATGTTAGGTGAATGATAAGGTAGGCTAATGCTCAACAGGATTTGATCTCTGCTGATGAACAGTTTATAAGCTACAGTCATTCCACTGGTGCATTGTACAATATTTATTTGCTTGCCTGATTTTGAACAAGTACAAAAATTCAATATAAACAGTTTGATTAGCAACCTAATGGCTTAAAACCTTAAGCTAAATGTTAATGTTACCACTTAATTACAATTATATACTGAGAAAAAAAATCAACCTTGCTAGGAGTACATCTGCAAACTGTGATCATTGTAATGAAATATGCATGACTGCATTTGCTGTTACAGATTAAAAATCAAGAACTACACTACTGTGCGAAAGTCAGAGACCACCCTCTGTTTCTTAATTGTCCAGTCAAAACAGCCATTAAGAACACCTTTTTTATTTTTCAAGATATATTAGATATAAGATAATCCACTTGCATAAGCAAGGGAGATGTCAGTGAAAACAAAAAAACCCAACCATCCAAGACCTGGCAGACCACCAAAACTGTCACCATCAGATAAACAGGCTTTCACATCCAGTCCATAGTTTCTGTCCATCCTTCTACTGAGAGAAGACAACTCAGCACAAATAGACAAAATATAGACAAAACACTCTAAATACTGAAAAAGCTGTGAAGACATCTGGGTAAATTTCCATTACCAACATTTTTTCAGTTTTTTTCTTGACACTGAAAAAATAACTTAATTACTATTTTGACTGGACATTAATAAATATAAGGTAGTCTTCTGCACAGTATTGCAGTTCTTGTTTTTATTTGTCTGTTAGGACAAATGCAGTCATCAATGTTTTATTAAAATAATCACAATTTGTGCTCCTAGCAAGGTCAGTTTGCACTCAGTGCGTAACTGTAATTAAATGCTAACATTACCATTTAGTTCAAGGGGCTATTTTTGCACAGAACTGTAAGGCCAAATAATCTCCAAACACAAAAAGCAGTGAAATATGGACTAGCAAACAAACTGCAGTAGCCTCCTGCCAATCTACACATATGTAATTTGATTCACACTGTGCCCGAGTCTGTTTCACACGAAAAGCAGGAATGGAGAATGTTGGAGGAGACAGGACTGAGACTGTATGATTGGCACAGCTGAGCATGGGAGATCTCAGCAGGATCTGGTAATGAGAGAAAGGAAAGGATGCGTGAAACTCAACACACACACGTGCGCATGCAGGCAAAGACACGCACACACTCTCTCTCTACGGTACACGCACTATTCATATCACTAGTGCACTCTGTATCCATCTGTGCTGTGGTACTACCTTGAGATGGAATCCATATGTTGCTCAGTGTGTTCTAATAAGCTTTTATTTATGACAGCATGAGGACATAAACTCATGTCACTGTCTACCCCAGTTAAATCTGCATCACTACATATAGTGAGACTGATATGAGGTGTCTATTGGCTCTTGCACCCAAGCGTAGTCACTGAACGATGTCACAGGTGTAGGATGGCGTTACTATACCTCCAGGACAGGTGTCTCTTGTTCCATTTGTTCTGAGGAGCCAGTGCCCGTCTCCTCCTGCCAGTAGCAGTCTCTGGTGCTGATACGTCTGGCAGTGAACAACGTGGTGTCTTCATTAGGCCAAGGGTGGCCTGGTCTGTAGGGGAAATACAAAAACACATGGATTGGCACTCTTTATTTCAGAATATTCAACCAATTATTTTGACTACATTTACATTCACCAGATTCCTTGCATTTCACTTGACATCTCACTGTACAATCACTGCCATTTTGAGGACCAAATAGGCGACTGACTGTGCCAGCTAAAAGGATGTCTTTCTATTTGCTGCGCTGTTGGTTACAACAACTATACAGTAAGTGAGGGATTATAACTAACATGAATTCTGTTGCTGTCTCTCATGTATTCAACTGCAAAATATATTTGAAATAAACCAAGATCAGTCAGAATAATCTGGCAGACCAGGACAAGTCTCTTACATTCCCTTTTGTTGTGATCAAACCAAACCAACTTTTTGTGTTTAAACTACCTAAAAAGAATCCATCAACTTCATCTGCCAATCATCATTTTCAAGCTGCTGAACAAAACCTATGAGCTAATTAAGTATAACACAAGAAAGACATGTATTGCTTTCATAATTTAAATAAAATGTGAGAAAAGCACAAAAAAATCTGATGCCAGTGGCAAGTTCCACTCACTACCGGCATATATTATCACTTTAAACTGGCAAGAGTCAGAGGCATATTAATCGTGATTCCTTAACATGTGATGTTTTAGAAATTACTTAAACATCAATCACTACATTAATATTTTAATTGAGATATGGAAAAAAATTCAGCATATTCTATTCCTCATCGGCATGGACCATTGGAGACAGACATATACTAGAGGCATATACACCTGTGATCCCAGAAATTCAGTCCCATGGCTACTACAACAAAAAAAAATCACTTGGCTGAAATGCAAGGACAATACATGTTACAGTGCAAGCTGGCACACCCACCAAGCACACCGGTCTCCTCCAACCCTCCAAACCGCTGCATGGCTTTAATGGCCTTGGTCAGTGCCTCCTTGGTCTGCAGCTGCCCAGTAACAGGGTCAGCTGGTGGGAGGTAGCCGAACTTACTCAGCCAATCCTGGGAAAAGAAGAAAAACAGGGGTTGTTATGGGCTACTTCCTTCATTCCTGCACAATTTGAACATTCAACTAGTGTACTCGGCATGAAAAGGCATATTATATTAAAGTGACTATAGATTAGCTTGTATAAAAAAACTTAAGTAACCTTCAGAAAATATTTAAGTTCTTAGGAGCCTCTGGTTATCATCGTTTAGGGGTGCTGTTGTCACAGAGCTTCAGAGCAAGCTCATGGCACATAGACAGGTGCAGTACCAACCTTATTCTCTCACTCGTGTTATTTAAGTGACAACCATCTGCTCGACAGGCTCTGGTTTCCCCTCTGTTGCTTTGAGTGCACTCAGGTACACAGCATATATGTATACTTGACACTGATAATAACAATTCAAGCTTGTGTTAACCATCTGATTTGGCCTCCACTGCTGATGTGCTTCAAGTTATAGTGGCTTGAATTCAAATAGTAATTTAACAAATGTGTATGGGTGACGAATTACTTAGATCAATAACACAGCCCATCTTAACTGACAAAGACTCAACACTCTCCATTAATAAAATTGCTTTGTGTTTACACAGCAATCTCAGTAAACAGTGAAGCTCTAAAAGAGTGAAGGCTCCACTTCCAATCCAACAGATTTAAGACCTTATCTGGTCACAGATCAAGCCTAACTGTGGTCTGAATGTCACTATTAATGTAGGTTCTCCATCCTTGTCTAGGCTTAGTCTTAAGTCCCTGACTTAGCCTTTTGTCTAGTTGGGCTTAGTGTCATCTCTCAATCAACTTCTTAAGGCCATGTTAAAGTACACCTTCAGGCTAATTCGGCTTATTAAAATGCACGGTCTTCAGAGGGAACCTCCACCTGATTAATCTAGACACCTCCATCATCTACAATTGCCTAAGTACATTGCCATGACGACACTAATCGGTCTTGTTATCAGTACAGGTGGTGGCTGACCTCAAGAAGATTGATGACACGTGCTTGCCCTCAGTTGCCACAGCAAGGAAGGAGGATTTGCTTTGAAACCTAATCCTGGAAGTTAGTGTTCATGCTGTGCGGCCACTTACAAAGGCAATCTAGACCAAGAAACCTGGTAAAGACAGGAGGGTCTGCAAACTGCCCTTGTGACGTCAGTGTAATGCAACTGCAAAGGCCACTTGTGAGATAAACGTTACTAAAAAAGGTCAGAACAGCAAAAAACAACAGCAGTTGCTGTGGACAAAAACAACTGATCAATATTTCAGTCTTGGCAGAGTTGCAGAACTTAACTGGAGAGCTGAAGTTAAGTTTTAGACTTCACTCTCCTGCTCCTGTAAGTCTTACTTCCACTCAAGGTCTTCGCAAGTAAGCATACGGAGAGGTCAAGACAGGTTACAGGATCCAATTGCAGTCTTGTTTCAACAGAACTGTTATACCTTTGACAGGACTCAGGTTTTCAAGACCTTGAGCTGAACAGAAGCTACAGGCAGATCAGAAAGCAGTGAGGCTACAGTAACAATGATGGTTGTGTCACCTGAGTAGGAACACAAGTGAGTGGGTGCAATTTCTTGTGCATGGATCACAATGTCCTCCTTGAAGTGGTGACTATAGAAAGAAAAAACGTTTCAACAGTCAACACAGCAGGTCTGCACTGAAATTCTCTACCTATAGGGTTATTTATACTGACCAAAAAGTCAAGGCTCAACAAACTCATGAAGGGTGAAAAACACGAGATGCCCTGAGTCATGCATTGTGTAATCCTAGCATGTGCATCCCTGCACCCACCATAAACACATGATGACAGACATTAATGATTGCTGAGTACAGATCAATGACACTCACATTGCTCTAAGCACTTTAACTAGCTTGGCTACTAGCTTGGCTAGTGTTTATACAATGTACCAAAATGAGTTAAAGGCCTTCCAAAGTGTTCAAACTACACCGAAAAACCTTCTCTGCACTCTGCAGATGAAAACATCTCTGACGAGGTCCACACAGCTGCAGTTAGCCATTTTCCTAAAACAGAATACTAAAAGTGATAATGTTACTCTGCATGCTGCAAATATAAATTAAATTAAATTACCTTCTTTTTCAGTTGTGGCTGGCAATGAGAACTTGATGTCATTTTTTTTTTATTCTGGCATGGTCCTACTTGTTAGCATTACCATCACTGCCATTTTGGAAACAAAATAAATGAAAATACTATACAGCATAAATGAAAATAAATACTTTACAACACAGTATATTAACATAATACAATATAATCAAATAATATAATATTGTAGTTTTGATGGTGTAATGTGGCCCAATGCTGTGGGCTACAGCATTTCACTCCCAGCTCCCAGCTGGCACAATTTGTGTGTTGACAAACTGTCCAGCTGTGTCAGAGTGTGGAGAAAGGGCTTACTCTGTTTGTGTGAGCTCTCCACCCGCTGCCTCAAAAATCGATGCATGACAAGTCACTGTTTCTCACCTAGCGCCTCCCTCATCTCACTCGCACACACAAAGTTACACATACACATACACAACACACCCACCCTTCCATTCACACACACCACAGCTCTGTTATTAATTCACTGCACTACTGGACAAAAAGAACAAGTTTGACTTCACTAGTGTTACTATTAACCCTTGAAAGCACGTCTGACATCTGCACATACTTCAGGTTCTTAGCGATCTGGCACTAATGTCTAATACAAATTGATCTACAGCCTGCCATAACAGCAGAAAACTGTCAAATAATTTTATTGGAAGTAAACAAAAATATTGTAATACTTACTTTATAACATGGGTGTCATTTATCCAAAAAGACAATTAAGTGGGCCGGAGGGGGGGTGGGGTTGGAGAGGTGTGTGAGTAGGGCAGAAATGATTTTCAGGTTCAATACAATTTTCAGTTCTGAGGTTATAATTAGATTTTTGATATTTTGTGTGGTAGAAAGTCTTGATTCTACAGTGCTCTAATTACATACACTACACAAGCTGATTTGGCTCAGAAAAATAAAAGCTCTCCAACAAAATATTTTCAAAGATTGCTGTTCTAGACTTCTAGCGAAATAAGCCTCCATAATAAGCAACTTTAAAATACAAAAAGCCCAGTAATTTGGGCAGGAGAACATGAATACCAAGAGATGCTAGGAGGCCAAATAATACTGTATTAATACTGTACTGAAATCGTTGCATCCTATGAAATGACACAGCTTATTATCATCCCAAGGTACGCATTTAAAACCTAATGTTATACTGCATCACTAAAACATTTTACTGTTAACTGTAGTATCACTAACTTCAATACCATCATAATATACTAATACAGCACTTCACATCAGCATCACCATACTGCTTTGTTTAATCTTAGAAAATCTTTAAAGAGCAATTTACTGCTGTACTTTAGTAAACCCAGTTATCACAGACAATTTTATGGCCACTGGGAGAGCTAAAAGTATGCTCCGCCTTAGAGCTTGTTAGTGCTTCCCTGAGAAAACATTTTCCAAAAGATCAACTCCACCAGGGTCACTGGCTTTGTCCAAGGACGCTGCTCATTGCTCTCACTCTCTCAGCTTGGAGGCTGGGTGGGGCCAGGCGACACTCCTGCTGTGATAAGTGGGTCAGTCCTCTGCACTGTCAGAAATCCAGAAGCACAGCATCTATCTCACTCCAAATACGTTCCTCCTTCCAATGAGAAAGCTAGTAGGGAGAGATGGCTGTAACTTTCCCAACAAACATAAAAGTTTCTATTGTGACTCCAGACTAGGGAGAAGAGAATATTAGACTTTCACCTCATGTCACAGGTAGGGGAGTGAAGGACTCCTTTGATAACCTGTAGTACTGAAGGAAACCAGAAATTTACACAGGGACAAGAATGCAGCAAGTGCCATGACTAGAGCTGGAAGATATGGTTTTGAGAACTCTCTCACTGTTTTTCAGGTTTTGCTATTCAAAATACATACAGGGCATCAAAAGATATTTGGACACTTTAGCCTGGGGGTGCACCACTCTGGTCCGGAAGGGTCCAGCGAAGTTCTGTAGTTCCCCTACTCAAACACACCCACTAAACCTGGCAGTTAACAGATGAAGTGAATCAGGTGTGTTTGAGCAGGAAAATCACCAAACTGTGCTGGACACTGGCCCTCCAGGACCAGGGTTGTGCACCCCTGCTTTAGCCATTTTAACCATTGGTATACTTTCATGAAGTTTGGTATGTGCTTAAAAAAAAATTGCAGTGCTTACAGCTCTTTGTGGAGAAAGCCTGGAGAGGAATTACAACCAGACTGCACCAAGTTTACTCTAAGCACAGAAGTGGAAATGTTAGCCTGGGCCTGTTTTTCTTACAATGGTGTTGGTGAGCTTGTGCTCACTGATAGGATCATGAACTACAACGCATTCTGGACGTAAACCTGTGAATCCTGCAAAGAAACTACTCAAACAACAGAAGTGGAAGTATATAGCAGGATAACGATCTGAAACACGAGAATACTTTGCCAAAAAAAGGAATAGTCTGTTCAAAATAAATGCCACTTGGTTTGATATTTTGTTTCCTAACACAATGAACCTAATACATTTTAAATATGGCACAATGTCCAAATACCTTTTGGTGGCATATTATCCCTGTATCATCATTCAAGCATTCTCTCAGAAACGTTTTAAAAGGGGGATTTTTCAATCAGAAGAACCATAATTTGAACTAGTCTTGTAGTGACATGTAAACCTGCTTGCAAACAAACAAATTGTGGTGTTTACTACAATAAGAATTTAAATACAGTAAAAAACAAAATCTATTTAGAAGGTCTGTTTCCAAATTTAGTTTGTGCAGAGCAATGGTGTCATCCAGAACGCTACGCACTTTAGGTTTCCATTTTGCTAATGAGGCTTAACAAATTCACATTCATGAGACAAGGAAGGGTTGCAAGACTAATACAACTCTCTCAGTCTTCAGGAATCTTTGCCTGCATAAAAAGCACATTACTCAAATGTTTACAATGTTAAATGTTTATGATGTGCATAAATTTCTCTCTCCAAAAAGTGACT